GTTAATTGTCCAAAAACAAGCATTATAATCAAAATTAATGTTAAATTTAAAAGAAGTCCAAACATGTTGTTATGGTATGAAAATACACAGTGAAGGCACCCAAAGAGCCATATCTCTGCCCTTTAGTGATATTTTCAATAACCATATATTATGATTAAGGCATTGTAGCATTTGTGGTCACAGATTAGATTAAACTGATTTTTAAAGACACATTTGATATTTTTTAAAACCATTTTACGTCATGGTGTCACCACAGGGTAGATATAACAATCATGAATACTTAAGTTTAAATACCATCTTATTTCTTCAACTTCAGCCACTGAGATTCCAATGAATTCTAAGTACATGTAAAATTAGACTTTGTGCTATTCCTTTATTAAGATCATATTATTAATCATTAAGATCCATAAATGTTTAATGCAAGTGCTAAATTTTCTTACAAGATTTTTTAAAAATGAATTGTAACTCAGAAACATGCTACATTACAAAGTGGTTGAATCCCTATTTTAAGTGCAAACCTCAACTCATCCTCAAATATGGAGGATGGAGCCATGAATAGCACACCCAAAATATGAGAGAATGCTGTGTTATTGGAGCAACACAAGACCCTGCTCTCGACTTGTCCGTCTGTAACACAGTAATTTTTGAAAACCACATCCAATCAATTCCAAAATTCCAGGGAATGATCTGGGTATCAGTGGGCAGATCCTATTGGTTTTTGGTGAAAACTGGAAAATACTGATTTTTCACTAGGATTAGGCCCACAGCATGCCCATTTGGCACTTCAGGCAGAGGAAGCTCTCTGGCACCCTCTGTTGCTGCCTACACATATCACAGGCAGGAGTTTACCAGAGGGTAACACACTTTGTTAATTATATATGCTGAACTGTCATTCAGCCATGCCCCTTGCCACAGTTGGCCCCTTTCTGCCCCTACCACGTCCAGCACTGCCCCCATTCTGACCAGCTCCCACACCCAGGCTTACATTTGCACTTCAGAAGTTGGATAACACACAGCTCTGCCTACACGAGCAACAAAGTGTGCCGCCTCTAATTATGCTTCCTCTATATCACTCTCTTATTTTCTCTTTACTTGTTTCTCTAACTGAGCTCACTGGGAAGTTTGTTTATTATTTGCATTGTGACAGTGCCTAGGAGCCGCAGCCGTGGTAAGTGTTGTACAAGCACAGAGTAGACAGTCTCTATCCTTAAGAGCTTATTTACTGTTTTAGTTTCTAATGTGGAACTGCTCATCTGATCAAGCTCCAAGTTAGTGTGTGTGACTTCTTTAGAGAGCTGATCTGAATTTTGAATTTTTGGCCACTTGCTTGTAAATTAAAAAATATTGTTTTTAAATGAAAATCTGTGTTGATAATTATTTTTTAGGTGGTGGGGGACGGGGAAAGAGGAGGATGACCAGCTTCACCTTTAACAATTTTAGCAAATAGATATAGCAAAGCACTTCTGTGTGTGCTTGACTTTAAGCAGCTGAGTAATCTCATCACTACTGAAGACAAAGAGGTTTAATTATGTGCTTAAATCCTTTACTGAATGTGGGTCCAAATTAATGAATGAGAGTGCAGTGAGGTGGATATTATATAAATAAACGCCAGATTTTTTGTTTGTTAATATTGACCCAAAGTGGCCAGTATTTTTACTGATTTAATGTTACCAAAGTATTTTCTACAATTAGCATTTTTAACTAAAACAGTAAGACTGGACATTTGATAGTCTTGAAGAATTTTCTTTCCCCAGTGTCTTTCCTAAACTTGCTTTCCACCAACTTCTTTTCAAAACAGGCTAGGTTCTTTCAGAACCTCACCTCATGAAGACTCAGTGTGCAGGGGAACTGGTTATGATTTCCTAGGGATAGATTAGTGGCAGAGTATTTTTGACAGGAAGTGGGTAATTGATGAGGATCCTTAATAATACGACTGGGTGTCAAATCCTACCAAGGTGCTCAGAGTCATGTTTAGGCATTGCTGTGCTTAGCATCACAACACCTAACTGATATAGGGGACTAAATCTCATTGTCAAAAGGGATTTAGGCACTTAGGAGTCTGAGCCCTGATCTATGCTTACAATTTAGATCGACCTAGCTATATCACTCGGGAGGTGTGAAAAATTCACACTCCTGAGTGCCACAGTTAAGCCGACTTACTCCCTGGTGTAGACATGGCTAAATCCATGGAAGATTTCTTCCGCTGACCACGCTCCTGCCTCTTTGGGCAATGGATTACCTACATTGACATAAAAACCCCTTCTGTTGACATAGGCAGTGTCTACACTACAGCGCTGCAGCTGTGCCACAGTAGCACATATAGTGTAGACATGCTCTAAATCCCATCAACAATTGATGGAGTTTAGACTCCTAAGTGTCTAAGTGCCTTTTGAAAATGAGATTTAGGCTCCTAAATTAGTTAGATGTTATGACGCTGAGTGCAGCAATGCCTAAATATCTTTAAAAATCTGGGCCTAAGCTATAGCAAATAAGGTACACTGATGCATCGCATCTATTATTTTTATCAGATCTGATGACAAGGTTCCCTTTGATCAGAATTTGATTTGTAATTCTAATAAAATAAAGGCTTATAAATGCTGCTGCTACCTAAGTACTTTAAATAGGAAGCACATTTACTATTGTGTGATGTGATACATGAAGGGGGAGTAGCTCCCTTTGGTGGACACCCAGCCAGCCAATTAGCTGTAAAATCCCTCTTGGTCTGTTCTCTGCTTGCTTTACCTGTAAAAGGTTAATAAGCCCACAGGTAAAAGAAGAGGAGTGGGCACCTGACCAAAAGAGCCAATGAGAAGGTAGAACTTTTTAAAATTGGGAAAGAAACTTTCCCTTCTGTCTGTTGTTCTCTGGCCTGCAGGGACACGGAGCAGTAATGCCGTAAACAGCTTTAAGCCAGGTATGATTATAGATTATCAATTCATACCTCAAACCTACTTATCTGGAGCCTCAGATATGTAAGTAAAATTAAGGAATGTCTAAAAAAGTGATTAGGGTTATTTCTTTTATTTCTTATTGGCTTGTGGACCCCTCTGTACTAACCCCAGATACTTTTGTTTGCTTGTAACCTTTAAGCTGAACCCCCAAGAAAGCTATTTTGGGTGCTTGATTTTTGGAATTGCTCTTTTAAAATATAGCAAGAGCGTAAGTTCCAGATGTATTTTCTTTCTTTTTGTTTTTAATAAAATTTACCTTTTTTAAGAACAGGATTGGATTTTTGGTGTCCTTAGAGGTTTGTGTATGTTGTTTGATTAGCTGGTAGCCACATCTAATTTCCTTTGTTTTCTTTCTCAGCTCTTCCCCGGGGTGGGTGGGTGAAAGGGCTTGAGGGTACCCCACAGGGAGGAATTCCCAAGTGCTCCTTCCTGGGTTCAAAGGGGTTTTTTTGCATTTGGGTGGTAGCAGCGTTTACCAAGCCAAGGTCAGAGAAAAGCTGTAACCTTGGGAGTGTAATACAAGCCTGGAGTGGCACGTATTAATTTTTAAAATCCTTGCGGGCCCCCACTTCTGCACTCGGAGTGACAGAGTGGGGATTCAGCCTTGACATGTGGCATTTTAAAAAACAGACCAAAATGGAGAATGTCTTCACTTCATTAAAGTCATTGTGTAGTTGTATATGGGTTTGATTTATATTTTTGTATCTAAAATGAGGTTCAGTTACCATTTCTAAATTATTTCACCTGGTAAATATGGAAAACGTAAAATAAAAATGTAATAAAATATATTGCAGGCAGCCTTTCTAATTACACTGGAAGTCCCCATTCTTTTCTACAGAAAGTAGGCTTGTAACTGCCTTATATATAGACTTCCAAAGACCAAAATGTAATGGTGAGAGATGTAACCATGTACAAATACAGTGTTTGAAGGCTGGGAATGCAAGGCAGGGAAGAGGAAATGTTCAGGCTAGTAAAAGGGTGTATAATTAAGAGCAGTGGAATGAAACCAAGAGAAGAAAAACATAGGCTGAATAGCTGGAAAACATTCCTAATGATGTGATCTCCCAAGGTGGATCTTCACCACTTAGGGTGGGGTGGGCCAAAAAGTTTGCCCACCCTGCCCTGAGGGCCACATCTGGGTATGGAAATTGCATGGCAGGCCATGAATGCTCACGAAATTGGGGGTTGCGGTGAAGGTGGGGGTGAGGGCTCTGGCTGGGGGTGCAGGCTCTGGGGTGGGGCTGGGCATGAAGGGTTGGGGGTGCAGGAGGGTGCTCCAGGCTGGAACCGAGGGGTTCGTGGGACAGGAGGGGGATCAGGGCTTTGGCAGGGGGTTGGGGCATGGGAGGGGGTCAGGGTTACAGGCTCTGGGGGGCGCTCACCTCAAGCAGCTCCCAGAACAGCAGCATGTCCCCACTCCGGCTCCTACATGGAGGCACGGCCAGGCGACTCTGTGCCTGCCCCGTCTGTAGGCGCCACCCCCTGCAGCTCCCATTGGCTGTGGTTCCCGGCCAATGGGAGCTGCAGGGGCAGCATTCAGAGCTACCTGCATAGGAGCCAGAGGGGGGACATGCAGCTGCTTCCGGGAGCTGCGTGGAGTGGGACAAGCCCCCTGGCAGGAGCTTGAGGACCAGATTAAAACTTCTGGAGGGCCGGATGTAGCCCCCAGTCCATAGTTTGCCCACCCTGACTTAGGGTCTCTTACAACTGGACTGGACAAAACTCAAATATTCTGCCAGGGAACAAACCAGCACTGGCCTGCAGATTAACATAGCCTTTTACAACTCTAATTTCATGAGTGCTTGCATGTCACAAGGGATAAAATGAAAATATGCAGCACATTGCATTAGTGAGTAGGATATGACCTGTAAGTGGGGAGTTTTAACTCGCCCGCTTTTTGCTTTGGGATTTTCTTTTGCCTGTGCCATTAAAAATGCAAATGGAACTCCAGTTGCTGTTTACAAACTGATAATTTTTCTATAAATCCTTGGCTAGACATTTTTACAAAGTCAGCTTTTGCTTTGCTAATCTTGTTGTTTGTCATTTCAGGTTTGATGGGAATTTTAACACCAATGTTTCTAGAACTATTAGCTGTGATAGATTGTCCACCACAGTTAATAGCAAAGCCTTCAATCCAGGACGTGATTTAAACTCTGGTAAGTAATACAAATATTTTTATTTGCTTTTGTTCTTCTTTTTTCTCCATTAGAGTTTAACATTCTGTTGGTACAGAGGATTAACAGTGCGCTGTAGCAACATGCTTTTATTTCGCTCTGAAACTGGCATGCAGCTCCTAATTTGAGATTTCATGATTGAAAGATGATACCTAAAGTAATGCCCTTAGTCTAAGTACTTTTTAAATATAAAAATGTCATGAAGACTTATTCCATGTATAATGTTGTTGTGATTTTTTGTGCCTATTCGTCTCGCCTGTTCCCAAAGTTGCTTTCCTTCCTAGCCCTGTCTTCTATGGCATCAGTAGTATCAGGTGTTGATGGTGCCAAACTGAGGTGCCTCCCTGATCTTCTTAGCTGAGTTCAGGTAATGTGCAGCTGCTTTTGCAATGATATGCAAAAGTACAAGGACATCTGAAAATATTTCCTTTCTTTGACTTGTCATGGAGTTGACCCATTTGCTTGATACGCTTTAAAACTGGAAATGTGCTTACAACCTAAGGTGTCTGACTTAACCCCAGAAAATTCAGCCTTTGGTCCCATGCCACAGGCTTTTCTTTTTAATATCCTGTAGAATTTGAAATAAATGGGTTTTAATTTTTTTATCACTATTTTTTTGCCTCCATCATTATATCTTCTTATGATGGCTTTGGGTTGTAAATTTTAAAACTATTTTAACTATAGACTTCCATTTAGCATGGTTTTTATTTAACTGCCGGTGCAGGACCAGCGGGAAATGCACGCAACCTTGATTCTTGTGGGTTCTATAAGAATAAGAAGGTGTTTTCAACCTCTCACCAATGGGGTTTTCTCCCCATCCCAATCCTCTGTAGTGACTTAGAATGTGGAGATCTTGCAACAAATTTGATAAGGGAAGTACAAATTTGGGTCTAGAACCTCTAGCTGTGTACCTCTTTAAAGCTCCAAGTGGTCTCTAGGTGATTCATTTCTGTGGTCATAAATAAATGCTGTGAAATTTAGGATTGGCAGCAACATTCAGCTTGTTTTTCCTTCCCTCTTCTTCTCTGGGCACTCACCACTTTCCCTTTTGATTGGTTGGGATAGGGATGCTAAAACTTTGCCCACTCAAGATTTTCAACTTGCTAGGAGTCTGAAGGCCATACGTAATTGCTTAAATGGTGCAATTTCAAGCATCCTCACCTTCAACACAGATGTTGGCCTGGAGAGTCTAGATGTCCCAACATAGAATCATAAGACTGGAAAGGACCTTGAGAGATCATCTAGTCCAGTCCCCTGCGCTCATGGCAGGACTAAGTATTATCTAGACCATTCCTAACAGGTGTTTGTCTAACCTGCTCTTAAAAATCACCAGTGACAGAGATTCCACAACCTCCCTAGGCAATTTATTCCAGTGCTTAACCACCCTGACAGCTAGGAAGTTTTTCCTGATGTCCAACCTAAACTTCCCTTGCTGCAAGTTAAGCCCATTGCTTCTTGTCCTATCTTTAAAGGTTAAGGAGAATGATTTTTATCCTATCTCCTTGTAACAATCTTTTATGTACTTGAAATGTCTCCCCTCAGTCTTCTCTTCTCTGGACTAAACAAATCCAGTTTTTTCAATTTCTCTCATAGGTCATGTTTCCTAGATCTTTAATCATTTTTGTTGTTCTTCTCTGGATTCTCTCCAGTTTGTTCACATCTTCCCTGAAATGTGGCACCCAAAACTGGACACAGTACTCTATTTGAGGGCTAACCAGCGCGGAGTATAGTGAAAGAATTACTTCTCGTGTCTTGCTTACAACACTCCTGCTAATACATCTCAGAATGATGTTTGCTTTTTTTTTTTTTTTTTTTTTTGCAATGGCGTTACACTGTTGACTCATATTTAGCTTGTGGTCCCCTATGGCCCCCAGTACACCTTCCTAGGCAGTCATTTACCATTTTGTATGCATGCAACTGATTGTTCCTACCTAAGTGGAGTACTTTGCATTTGTCCTTATTGAATTTCATCCTATTTACTTCACACCATTTCTCCAGTTTGTCCAGATCATTTTTAATTTGAATCCTGTCCTGAAAGCACTTGCAACCCCTCCCAGCTTGCTATCGTTCGCAAACTTTATAAGTGTACTCTATGCCATTATCTAAATCATTAATGAAGACATTGAGCAGAACCAGACCCAGAACTGATCCCTTTGGGAACACACACGGTATGCCCTTCCAGTTACATACATACACTTCTTCGCCATAATTGGAATGGAAGGCCACACACTTCTATCCATATTAAAGGTGAGCAGTCACAAACCACATGATAGAAGTCCATGGGCTACATTTGGCTCCCAAGGCATCTTTTTATTTTTTTAAAGTTTTAATTAATGTTTTAAATTAAAGTTTTAATTAATTTGATGTTTGTTAAAATATCTGAGGAAGTATCAGCTTAAAATTGTATTTACAACAAATGTCCTTACTGTAAATTATTAAAACTGAAAGAATTTAAAAAATCTAATACACTTTTTACTATTTATGACATCTGTTCACTTATTTTTTTTTGGTTGTTTTACTATGGAGAATTACATATTTTATTTATTTTTATTTTTGGTCAGTTTCAAGCCCATTTCACTTTCCCCTACAATAGCAGAGTGCTGCGATATTTGGCATGCATACCCTGAAATGGAGGGAATGTTTGTTTAAGTCAAATTCCTGTGAAAGCATTTATTTTACTTCTGGAAGAATGCCTGTTGGTATTACATTTTGTAGAAGCTCTTATGAAAAAAAATAACTTGGAGTCATAATTGCCCTTAAAATGTCTTCTTAATTAATTAAGTAGTTAATTTGGATTTATGACCAAACAAAAAACTGACACCTATCCAAGACTTATAGCCCCCCGACACAAGTTACCAGATCAAACAATTAAATAGCACCTTATCCTTCCTTGCCAACAAGTGCCGACTCTTTAATGAGCATGCATCCTAAAATCAAGCAGTGCAGGAGTAATGGACAGTTAAAAGCAAGAGGAGAGAGGATCAAGAGGACTGTATCACTGGAGAGGTGCTTCAGCATTTTTACCTGGAGTGTATACGATACTCTGGATTCCCACCTGGGCTGCTCCCAAAGTATTTCTTTTAATGGGAGCTCTTCATTCTGCCCGTATGTGCTGATCGGGGAACAGGGTGCCAGTTAGGAGAGAATAGAACAGCATGGGGAAACTTTGGGCAGGTGCATGGGAAAGTGGTGTGAGGGGTTGTGTTTGCAACCAGTATAGAAATAAAGGTTGTTGCTGGGTTCAGGCCTAATGGAACCTGAAAGTTAGATTTTTAAGGAATAGTGGGAAGAAGACTGGACCAGAGAGAACATATACATGTTGGGCAGAACTGCCAGCCTCTTGTCAATTTGATTGAACATGTCTTCCAGAGCTTGCCTCAAGATTTCGAAATTTGCTTGGAGCATTTCCAGAGTCGTCGGCTTTCTGTTTCCCATCTTTTGCATTTAGAAGATTTAGCCTAGACATTTTCATTTGCTGCCCCAACTATTTCTATTTCTGAAAACAGAACAATTGGGACTGCGTCTGGATGGGAACACTGATCTTCCCTGGGTGGTGGTAAGAGGTTTGACGTAGACTGAATAAGGCCTTTGGTACTGTCACTAATGGCAGCAACCAAGTCTCTGCTGCCTCAAAGAAATTTTTGAAAACAAAAGAAACTGCAACAACAACAAAATTCAAGCAATTGAAAATGAGGCCTGGAGTCATCAGTAGGTTGCTGGTTCTAATTTATCCTTATCAAATGCTTGTGTGGTGGACTATGTGAAATGAATCAATCTGTGTGTAATTCCCAGGGAACAAGAGTCTGCATCACAAAAACCATCACCACCTCTATTGTTGTCCCTTGCTAACTGGCTACCCCATCGGTAGTCTCAGCAGAGCGGCCAAGGATTTGAATGGACTTTAATCCCTGGAGTGGATTCCTTCTGGATTGAGGCTTATTGACTATCTGGTAGGACAGTGTGAGAAAACTTGCCCTGCCACAAGGTGTGCTTCATCTGTTTTATGGATAGAGGACTCCAGCCTCCCATTCTGAGAATGAATAAAGAACTTCACTCCCTAAGGGAATTTATCCAAAACATTTCACCAGGAGTGATGCTGGTGCCGTAGCTGGACAGCTGATACAGCTCTTCCCCCCCAAATCCCTCTTCCACACAGTACTGCTGAAGAGTTTGGGCGGGTGAAGATTCTGGATGTAGGAAAGTTTAGGTAGAAGGTTTAGGGTATGGATGGAGAGTTAAACCCTGGATGAGATTTTAGGGTGCTTGCTTAGGAGCTGCTATCTCTTGATACTTTGTGGAATTGCCTCCTCTTGGATCTTCCCACACCCACTGCTGTGACCGAGTTCTGTGGCATCTGTTACTTAAAAGATAAATTTAGGACTAAGGGCTTATCTACAAATGGAATTACTCAAAAATAGCTCCATGTATGGACACTCTTATTCTGGACTAAGAATACCTTTCAAAGTGGATTAAGCTAAACCAGGAGTGCCCAACCTACAGCCCGTAGGCCATACATGGCCTATCAGAGCATTTCATAATGCTTGCGGCCTGTTTCAACACAATATACTAAGTACCGGTTCATGAACATTTTGGCATGTTTACATCATTTTAGTTTACACAAGTGTATAAATAGACAATACTGTACTTAGAAAAAACCTACGTACCTACATACTAAACAAGATGAACTTAAAATATAAATCAATACAGGTGACTTTAAATCTTATTAAAATACACCTCTACCCCGATATAACGCGACCTGATATAACACGAATTCGGATATAACACGGTAAAGCAGCGCTCCGGGGGGGGGCGGGGCTGCGCACTCCAGCGGATCAAAGCAAGTTCAATATAACGCGGTTTCACCTATAACGCAGCAAGATTTTTTGGCTCCCGAGGACAGCATTATATTGGGGTAGAGGTGTATGTAGAATCTATTTGGCCCACACAAGATTGTGCTTAGGTTTATGTGTCCCTCCTGTGTA